GACTACAATTCCAGAGGTGGAATTCTAAAAGTGATAAGCTGGAATTTACTATACCAACATCGCCATGGCTACAGATAGGGATTGCTATAAGGAGCATGAAAAATAGAGTTTTGAAGACCCTGATAGAAAATGCAAGTAAGATCTTAAATTTACTCTTCACTATCATATCACATATAGGGTTCATGGAATATTCAAAACCTCTTTATTATGTGAAGAATAAGAGCTAATTTTGTTAGATTACAAGACTAAAATAACATGGCTGCCCAGGAGAAAATATTATAATTTCAGTCACATTGGGATACTTAACTTGAAATAATGTGATAAACACACACAGTTTCATGTCTTGCTCATTTAGGAAGAACTAATGATATGACAAGAAATTGCTTATGTTGGAAGCTCCTACAAGATCTGCACTGCTTAAAATGTACAGAAAAGCAAAGCAAATCAGCTGTAAACATATGGAAAAAGATCATACTTCATTAATTATCAGAGAAAAAGTCCAAAATTAAGATAAGGAGATAATATTTTACCTCTATTAAAATTCGTAATAATAAAAGTTTGAGAAGTAACATCTACTATTCTCTTTGGGCAAGGGATATGAAAAAAATGAACATTTCTGGGACATTCATTGGTATGACTATAAATAAGTACAATCTTTCTGTAATTTACTAAAATGTATCAAAAATTTAAAAATAGCTATACTCTTTGAATTGGTAACTCTCTTCCCATAATTACCTTGAATTATTAGCAATAGTTATGTATAAAAATTATAGTCATAAAAATTTACAATAGCAAAAATTTAAAACAATCTGAAATAACAAATATTTGGAGATAAAGTATGGTACAGCTATAATTAGACTCTGATGTAAACAATGAAACTGAAGATCATGTTTTCAAAGAATACTTACTGTCCTCAAGAAATGGTTACTCCAAAATGTGAAAAATCAGGATATAATTTTACAGTATTTTGTTTTTAAAGTTCTATATATCCACTTAAAAGGACTAGAAATGAACACACAAATCTTTCGTTGTTTGGGGGATAATGGGATAACGGGTATTTTCTATTTTAGCATTCTTCTGCATCTTTACATTTTCCATAATAAATGTAATCAAATAGTAAAGTCGATCATTTTAAAGAATGAAAACAACCTGAGAAAGTTCCAGTTCTTGAAAACACACAGATTCTGGTGAGGCAAAATTTGAGGCTGGAGTATTATGAAAAGTTGTTTTTTTCTTAAAAATTACCTCTATGCACCATAGAAAGAGGATTATTAATGTCTATATCCCACAATCATATTTGTATATATGATAGTCTATAAACTATTTTAAGACTATATACACAACGTAACTTTTTTTTCAGATTATTTCCACTCCTTTCACACCGTATCATTCTTCAAGTACCAAAGTCCCTAGCTAGTCTTTTTCTCTCTACTCTAATGTTTAAGAATTATTACCAGAGTTTTTAGCTGTACTTAGTGGGAAGAATACGAAAAAATATGTATGCTCCATTTGTTCAGAACCAGAAGTCACTTCTCTCAAATATCGCTTCATATATTTTAATGCTATGTTATTAGGTATACATAGGCTTAGAACTGGTGTATCTTCCTGATCGGTCAAATCCTTTATTATTTAGCAGGGTCCCCCTTTATTATCTAGTAGTCACTTTTTGCCTTAAATGTTTCATTATAATATAGACATACCAATTTTCTTATGGCTAATATTTGCCATTATATCTTTTCCATCTTCTGTCAACCTTTTAATGTCTTTTGAATACGACTTTTGGAAACAGTATGGTGCTAGATTTTTTTTAAAATTTGAACTGACAATTTTTGCTTTTTAATGTTTTGCCACAAATTATATACATATTTACATTTATTTCTCATCAATTTTTTATGTTTTGTATTTACCTTTTCCTCCTTTCTTGCCTTGAGATTGAATTCATTTTATCTCCTTCAAAGGCATACACTCTATCGCTAGTCTATTCTTTCAGTGGCTACCCTATTTTGACAAGCATTCTTAACACAGTCATCAGTTAATCATTTATTTTTACCTTGAACCTTAAGACTACAAGGACCTTAGAAAATTTTAATTCTGATGATCTTCTTCCAATTTATATCTATTGTTCCTTATTTTAATACTAGGATTAACATTTCCCAAAAGATTAGCCATTCATGTTTTATAAATCTGGATTTTTTTTTTTTTACAATTAGCAAATTACATGGAAAGTAATTTCATAGATCTAAACACATTAACTTTTCAGACTCTTTTTTTTTTTGAGATGGGAGTTTCGCTCTTTTCATCCGGGGTGGAGTGCAATGGCGTGATCTCGGCTCACTGCAATCTCTGCCTCTCGGGTTCAAGAGATTCTCATGCCTCAGCCTCCTGAGTAGCTGGGATTACAGGTGCCCACCAACACGCCCAACTAATTTTTGTATTTTTAGTAGAGATGGGGTTTCACCATGTTGGCCAGGCTGGTCTTGAACTCTTGACCTCAGACAATCTGCCTGACTCGGCCTCCTGGGATTACAGGCCTCAGCCACTGCACCCAGCCTTCAGACTCTTTTAAGTAGGCACAAGGTAAATCACTTTAAAACATTCTGTAACAGAGCACAGTGAAAAAAAAAAACATAGTTCTTCCTGTAGAAGACTTCCAAGAATAAAACAAATGGCATTCTCATGAAATTAACAATAATGAATATACAGACGAAAAACAAGCTTCTAATTTCTATTTATTTTATTAAAAAACCTCGTAAACTCACATAAATCATTGGCTCATAAAAGGAGTGGAAATAAAATATTAATCTTAAAAATAAACCATCCTACCTAGTATGTGTATAGATTTTTTTTTTTTTTTTTTTTTTTTTGAGATGGAGTCCTGCTCTGTTGCCCAGGCTGGAGTGCAGTGGTGCGACCTCGGCTCACTGCAACCTCCCCCTCCCAGGTTCCAGCAATTCTCCTGCCTCAGCCTCCTGAGTAGCTGGGATTACAGGTGCCCACCACCACGCCTGCCTAATTTTTGTGTATTTAGTACAGACAGGGTTTCGCCATGTTGGTCAGGCTGATCTTGAACTGACCTCAGGCAATCCACCTGCCTCGGCCTCCCAAAGTGCTGGGATTATAGGCATGAGCCACTGTGCCCGGCATGTATATAGTTTTAAATAGTTTAAGTTTACAGACTAACAGTATTAAACACCCATCATAAGAAGTTGTTGCAAACAAATATCATTCTGGGATATAGATAGTGATAGTTATTTTTTTTATGGTACAAAGACAGAGTTGACTTTTAAGAAAGAAACAGAACTTTTCTCAGTACTACCGTCTCAAATTTTGCCTCACCACAATATCTTAACTGTAATCTGATGTACAGGAATTATACTGTTAAACACAATTATTTATTAAAGGGTGTTTTTAGATTTGACTACAATGATTCAACTTATCAGTGTAATGATTTAGGCAAAACGAAAATAAAGTATGTACTTTATTAAGACTTTGCTCTATTAGGTTAATTTATATAAAGATGTTATTTAAAATTTGTGCTGTATGACAATTTCCCAATGTGTTATGGTATGTTAGTAGTATACTAAAGTATGCCTAAAAGGAAATTTTTAACTAATACATGCTCAATTTTAACAATGAATGAACACATTTGCATTTTAATGACTAAAGGCATAAAACATAAACTACTAAAATTAACAAAAATATTATATAAGAAATTAGAGAAGTATGAGCATAGTCATAATTTTACTTATGAAACTGAAAGGAAAAATATTTAGGATTATAGAGTGATAGCAAATTTTGGGGGCTTTTTTCCTTGATAGAAATATCAAACAACAGCCGGGCGCGGTGGCTCAAGCCTGTAATCCCAGCACTTTGGGAGGCCGAGATGGGCGGATCACAAGGTCAGGAGATCGAGACCATCCTGGCTAACCCGGTGAAACCCCGTCTCTACTAAAAAATACAAAAAACTAGCCGGGCGAGGTGGCGGGCGCCTGCAGTCCCAGCTACTCGGGAGGCTGAGGCAGGAGAATGGCGTAAACCCGGGAGGCGGAGCTTGCAGTGAGCTGAGATCCGGCCACTGCACTCCAGCCTGGGTGACAGAGCAGAGACTCCGTCTCAAAAAAAAAAAAAAGAAATATCAAACAACAGATGTGAGTTAAGATTTTATATTCTTATAAACTTCAAACCTAACTTTTATAAAAACAGATTAATGTTTAAATTCTAGAATAAAAATGCTAAAGCTGATTTTTAATGGTACAATTAAAACAGAAACAACTGAATTATTAAGATGTTGCTCAAAAACACCCATCAGCTGTCTAACAAATTCTGAGACAATGTATCATTCTGGTTTGGAGAATACTAAATGTATTTTTCTAAATGTCCCAAAAAAGCTGAGCAGAGTTTTCTCCAAGGACTCTCCAGCTTTAGAATGTTAGTCTTGGAGATAGATGAAGCTGTCTGTGGGAAAGGAGAGCAGAAATATGCCACATTAAGAAGTTAAAGAGAATGGTCAATATGATATCTGATGAATATTAACAATGTAATATAGAAAAGATACATTCTATAAAGAAATTATAACCAAAACAATCATGTACATTAGCAATTTAAAATATTTTTCTCCGAAAATGAACTATTTGATTATTCTTGTCCTTTATCAAAATAATAACTATTTTCTCATAAAAGAGTACCAGTGTAGTTTTGCTTTATTATTTTTAAAGTTTTAATCTAGCTGGCTGTACAACACATTATAAAATTAGAGATAAATTATTTAAACCTTTATTAATATCACCCGAGTACAGTGTTAGTAAAAACTGAGAAATTTTTAACATTATAATGTCTTATAACTAATTATAAGTGACAGAACTGCTCTGCAATCAATCTTGATAAATATAAAAGAATACCTAGCCAACACAAAAACTGGGGAAGCGAAATCAGCATATAAGCTTTAAAAAATCAGTATGTTTTAAAGAGTTTTATATTAAATAGACTGTTTCACAATTTACTCACATTGTTGAAAATCAAAATTTTATTCCTAAAAGAGGGACAATATAAAGCTAGGACCTTCATGAACATTCAGGTATCAGAAGAAAGTTGCCAAGGACAGAACTGATTTAACAGCAAGAGATTGGTCTTATGCTTATTACCCAGCACCATTACTAACTGTTAAAACAACCAAAACTAAGCAAATCAAATGCATGGCTATTTATTTTTTGTTGCTTTTCACAGATGAACCTTTGATGTGGAGTTTATCCCCCAAAACATTTGATCTTCTTCCACGTTCAATGGCTGGACTTTGTTGAGGTTTCTCCCTGAGAAATATACATGTGAATATTAATAGGATTTATAAAATGGCCAATGGTTTATAAATCAATAAACATGTTAAAAACCACTGTAACATAAGAAAAGTTTTATCTTAAAAGCTCCTTAATAGCTTTGAAAAACAAGGCTGGCCAGGTGTGGTGGCTTACGCCTGTAATCCCAGCACTTTGTGAGGTCGAGGTGGGCAGATCACGAGGTCAAGAGATCGAGACCATTCTGGCGAACATGGTGAAACCCCATCTGTACAAAAAATTAGCTGGGCGTGGTGATGTGCATCTATAGTCCCAGCTACTCAGGAGGCTGAAGCAGGAGGACTGCCTGACCCTGGGAGGTGGAGGTTGCAGTGAGTCGAGATTGTGCCACTGCACTCCAGCCTGGTGACAGAGCCAGACTGTCTCCCCCTCCAAAAAAACAAAAACAAACAAACAAACGGGAAAAACAAGGCAGACTATTTCAGTGAATTTAAAACAGCAACAGCTGTCTTCCTGAGATAGATTTAACTGTTTATAGTTTAACCACTGTTTAATGTTAACGGTATGGTAGCCACTAACCACACTTATATTTGAATTAAACTAAAATAATTCAATACTTCAGTTTTACCAGCAATGGTTCAAATGTGAATCAACAGCCACATGTGGCTAGTAATTACTACACAGGACAGAATAGATATATAGCATTTTTGTCATTACCGAAGTCATTTCAGGAAATGCCATTGGACAGTGCTGGTTAAGAGAAAATGCCACTGTTAGGGCCAGAAATTTATAGGTCATCCATAAAGAGTATGCCTTCTCTAAGTGGGACCTGGATTTCCTACTCAAACTTGGCACTGCTAGGTTTTTAATCAGTACATTTTTCAAATGAGAAAAATATCTGTAATTAATATAGGAGCAAGTTTTCAAGCAATTCAATAGAAAATACCAGGGCTCTAAATTCCTAAACAAGTGTTTTAGAAGAAAAGATCCTAGCATATGAAATTCTCCGTAAGGCTTCTGATTTACTTGATACTCACTTGTCCACCGCTAGTTCTGTGAAGCCTTCTACCTTCTGCAGCAATTCTCCACTCTCTTATAGCTTAGAACAGATTTCTATTTAAGGTCTGGTGAGGCCTTTCTCTTTAGTGTAACTTCATAGGAAATAGATATTATTATTCACTTCCCCCCCCCGCAGAGAACCACATTAAACTGTAGCTCCAGGGTATGTACAAAATGTATTTTAAAATCTCTATAATATTTATTTATTCATTTTTGAGATAGAGTCTCGGTCTGTCACTCAGGCTGTAGTGCACTGGTGTGATTTTGGCTCACCACAACCTCCACCTCCTGGGTTCAAGCGATTCTCTTGCCTTAGCCTCCCAAGTAGCTGGGATTATAGGTGTATGCTACCATACCTAGCTAATTCCTATTTTTAGTAGAGACGGGGTTTCACCATGTTGGCCAGGCTGGTGTCAAACTCCTGACCTCAAGTGATCCACCTGCCTCGGCCTCCCGAAGTGCTGGGATTACAGGCATGAGTCACCATGCCCAGCCAGAAATCTCTATAATCCTTAATATGTGGTTTCAGCAAATTTATTTTTCTCAGCTATACTAAAAGGGAATTGTAAAATAAGCTAATGTTCTTGCAAAATTCTTCCAAAACACCTAAAACACATCAAATATGGTATTGCATGTACTGTTACATATTGTACCCATGTCTGAAATTTCATTTACGATTACATGATAAATTGTGATTTGTTAAGGAAGTTGTTAAGTCTTCCAAATACAGCCCCTCTCCCCTTAACATATCTCTAGGTATCTTTACCAGTGTGAAATGTATGACTCTATAACCATATTAGAATCTGTTTTACAAGAATAACTACTCCGTAGCAAATCACTTTTCCTGAAGAGGATTTTGGTCTCTGTCTTCTGAAGCATAATTTACTAGTGAATTACTAACCATACAATCCTAAACTATTATTGATTTTTAGATATAAATTTAAATTTGTGCGGAATACTCAGTTTTAGTATAAAATTATAACATCTTTCACAAAAGATACTGTGGATACAACTTGGATGATCATCAAAACTTTCTGATAACAGAAATAAAATTATGTAACTTTACTTCAAATTCTTCTTTAAAAACCAAACTATTTTAGAAACAACTTTTACCTTCTTTTAAGTTCTTGGGAGCCAGGATTCTCATGACCAACACTTCTCATTCTAGTGTTTTCTAGATTGTGTCGTCCTGGTTTGTACTTCAAAACCTCACTTTGCCACTCCTCATCAAAAGCACGAGCATCATCTATGTTAAATAGAAAAATAATGGGAATAAGTATTAAGGTATCAACTGTCAGTAATTGCCTTGCTCCCACATATTTCAGTCTAGTCTGGTGTTTTCATTAGTATAACCTCAATATAGAGGCAGGAAGCTGCTTCAAATATAAGGGTCTTTGATGAGAGTAGTATTTCTTTTCCTGTCTGTTGCTCTCCTATTCCTACTGATGACCTAGTTATTGATGATCTATTTTTTCACCTGCCTGGATATCATATTATTTTACCCAATGGAACAGCTGACCCAATTATAATAACTAACAGTTTTTCTTCCTGGGTCATCTCACAATGAATATGTTCTTCCTGTATACTGTATACTTCTGTGACTAGCACTTCTATTCACCTAACCATCTTTCTATGTAACTTGACCTCACAAGTTTCTGTTGTCAATTTCCTAAGACAGGTTATTCAGCTAGAATGTCAATTCATGTTGTTATGAAGTAAGTAATCTAACTTCCATAGTAGCAACAATAGAGAATGATAGTACTTCTTCTTTAAGACTGCTTTAAAATATTATGTTCCTTCACTAAATTTTTCATTAAAATGTTGATTATTGTGAAATACTCAGTATATATATAAATGTGATAAAATTACAGAGGTTACAATTAAACACAGGTCACAATATCATGGCTTCTATCTTATTGCATAAGAATAATTTTATCAAACCCCGGCCGGGCGTGATGGCTCACGCCTGTAATCCCAGCACTTTGGGAGGCCGAGGCGTGCGGATCACAAGAGGAGATCGAGACCATCCTGGCTAACATGGCGAAACCTCGTCTCTACTAAAAATAAAAAAAATTAGCTGGGCATGGTGGCGGCTGCCTGTAGTCCCAGCTACTCGGGAGGCTGAGGCAGGAGAATGGCATGAACCCGGGAGGCAGAGCTTGTAGTGGGCTGAGATCACACCACTGCACCACTACACTCCAGCCTGGACAACAGAGCGAGACTCCATCTCAAAAAAAAAAAAAAACCAAAAAGGAATAATTTTATCAAATCCCAATGTTAACAGAATTTCTTCTTCCCCCCAACCCAAAACGGAGTCTTGCTCTGCTGCCCAGGCAGGAGTGCAATGGTGTGATCTTGGCTCACTGCAACCTCTGCCTCCCAGGTTCAAGAGATTCTCCTGCCTCAGCCTTCCCAGTAGCTGAGATTACAGGTGTGGGCCACCATGCCCGGCTGAGTTTTGCGTTTTTATTTTTACTTTTATTTATTTTTTTTGAGATAGAGTCTCGCTCTGTCACCCAGACTGGAGTGTAATGACTCGATCTCGGCTCACTGCAACCTCCACCTCCTGGTTCAAGCGATTCTCCTGTCTCAACCCCATGAGTAGCTGGGATTACAGGCACGTGAGCCACCACGCCCGGCTAATTTTTGTATTTTTAGTAGAGACGGGGTTTCACCGTGCTGGTGAGGCTGGTCTTGAACTCCTAACCTCGTGATCTGCCCGCCTTGGCTTCCCAAAGTGCCGGGACTACAGGCGTGAGCCACCATGCCTGGCCAGAATTTCTTTTTTAATACAACAATTTAAAATTTAAACACTTTATTATGGAAAAACATTATTCAAACTAGTTTCTGAAACTAGGAGATGAATCCAACTAAATTTTAATATAATTTCATTATTGAATTAATACAATTAATTAAATATAAAAGCTTAATACTGAATTAAAAATTAATAAAAATAAATTTAATGATTAAATTTGTTAATAAATTATAATATTATTAAAAACTACAGGGAGAAAGGACACTAGAAGGACATAAATGCACTGAAGAATAAATATAAAACCTAGAAAAAGAAGATTTACTTGAGAGAGAGAGACATACATGTAATTCAACATACAACAGAAATTAAAATCTTATCTATACAAAAGCCTAAGTACTGAACAGTACAGAATGATTTAAGTAAAAATTATGGCTTATTTACTATAAAAATTTTAGGTAACCACTTAAAATGTTTTTGAAAAATGCATCATAAGTGACTTTACAATTATAATGGTAAATTAAAATAAGCACAATATAAACTATATAAAAGTAAAATAATAATTTGAGGAAAAAGCATGTTTATACATATAAAATGATTAGGAAGAAATACATTAAAACATTACTAGTATTTCAATTTTGGATTATGGATGATTTTTGTCTTTACACTTTTCAAATGTACTTTCTTGATAATCAGAAAAAATATTTAAAGAAGCATTTTGCCTACTGATAATATTACTAAATAACAATTCAAAAGATTCCACTTTCCAAGGATAAAATAAAAATAAGTAATATCCCATATTGCCAAAAATCACTACAAAAAAGAGCTCTCCTATGAAAGGATGAAACCACAATCCTATTTCTTTGACAGGGTATTCTCTACACATATTATTCAAAAACTACCACTTATAACATGTTTCTACAAAAAATATTAGTCAACTTTAACTGTTATTTTAACTTTATGAGAAAGAATATTATTTTTTTGTGATAACTTACTTTCATTCATATTGATGAACTCCTGGTTGACCTCTTCATCTCCAGTCTTCCTGTTCTTTGACTTTTTAATGACATGAGCTCGGTCATGGATATGATGACCAATAGCCATTTTTTCTAGTCCACTGTCAGAATCTCTCATTGCTTTCCTGGTTTCCTTTATCTGTAAAAATAAAGAAATTTTGTTATTATTTAAATATATATAGAATGTATATAACTCTAAAATTCTCAGGGCCAGCTTACCTACTGAGGTATGGCCATAGATCTACCGCTCTAAAAATAATGTGTACTCAGTTCCACTATTAACTTGTGGTAAAACTGTGGTGATAAGTCTCTGGTATTTCCTGAACTCCTTAAAATGAAAATGTCTAGAACAAACAGAACCCATACAATTTAACCTGTTTCCAAATTATAATCAAATATTAAAACAAAAGTAGCAATTATAGTTTAATGCCTTCAAGACTGTTTTAGACAATGTAATAGAAGGAAGTTTATCGTAGCATTCCTACAAGTAAGGGCAACTAATTATTTTTCATGTTGATTGGCTTGAATCTCATCATTCCCGCCTATCAACTCTATGGAAGTGTTACTAGAATATTTATGATAGCTACTAACATGATTTACTGGGGGACATCTACAATTATATTGTTTACATTTAAGATTGTCACTTTTAGAAAGTTAAAATTAAAATGTCTGAGATTAATTAGCAGAACTATGGCAAGAGCATCATTAAAGGGTTCATCTTCATATGTAAGAACTAAAAAATGTACTACTTCACACTCATTAGATGGGTAAACCTAAATTTTTACTGTAAGTACTAACAAGGAAGTAGTCAAATGGAAACTCACAAGCCACAGTTTGTGGAAGCCAACAATTTCAATCACTGGGATAGTAGCTTGGAAATGCTAGGTAAAGAGGAAAGTACACATACCCTACAACTCAGCAATACCACTCCTAGACTCTTTGTATAAGGAGCCGTGTATAAAGATGAATTACTGAAAGATTAGACTCACCTACATATCTATCGACAGAAAATGATTTAAAAATAATGGTACATTCATATTTTGGATACTACGTAGAAGTTAAAGAAAACAGGGCCACATGTATCAACTAGAATAAATCTCAGAAGCGTATTAATCATAATATATTCATATTTTGGATACTATATACAAGTTAAAGAAACCAGGGTCACATGTATCAAGTTGAATAAATCTCAGAAGCATATTACTCAGCAAAGACAAGTTGCAGAGGACACATGCAATATGATACCCTTTATGTAATGTTGGGAAATCTGGAAAATAATCCATTTTTTTAAGATAGAAAGATAAGTAATAAAATTGTAAAAACATGCATGAAAATGATAAACTCCAGATACAGGAAAATGGTAATCTCTGAGAAGGGGAGAAAGGGGAAACAGACCTCAGAGGAATGTATTAGAAGCTTTAACTGCCTCTGTACATTTTTGCTTAAAAAGAAAACAAAGCAAGAGATAATTTGAGGCAAATAGAGAAAAATGTTATGATATGACTAAACTGGGTGGCACGAATATGGGCACTTATTATGTTATTCTCTATATCCTCTCTGTACATTTCAAATATTTCATGAGTTAAAAAATTAATTCACTTCAAATGTAAACTTAAAAATAGACATTATTTCACGAAACAAAGGCTTTTCGTGTTTTTGTTTACCTTGTCAACATGTAAAGGTAATAAACATCCATAGATATTTACATGAAAAAAGGCACCCTCACGGGGGTGGGGGCATGAAAAATCGCCACAAACTGAGTAAATACAGTTGAGTTTTAATGGTTTCCACAGTGAGGACTACCTTACACCCGACCCCCACACCGCCCTCCTGTCCCCCCGCCATCATGTACCAGATTAAATTTTAATAGTTATAATTTGATCTAGACAGTCTATCATCCCCTAACTTTATAAAGCTCTAGGAATGCTTATAGAAAACTTACTCCTCCTGGAGCTCTACGGGTTTGAGTTGAGGCCTGAAAAACCTTTGGTGGTTCATCTCCTATTTTGGAATAAGTCATAACTGAGGAAGAACAAAATGAATGTCCATTTGGATCCAGTGAAAGTTGACCCTAAAGGTAAACAAATTGTAAATTCGGTCGAGTCAAATATAAATAATTATTGCCAGAGAGTTCAAATAAGTAACACTAGCTGTAAGTTCTACTAAGGATACTAAACTACCAATATGGTATAGTCAGAGGGCACACCCAGGTTCTCAAGTGAGAAGTGACTTGAAAAATTACCTCCACCCAAAAAAAAGGCACCCCTAGAGGGTCCTGATGGTCGTCCATTTTAGGTACCATCATCCCACTCTCATTACAAAGACTAGTAAGTGACTAATTCAGAGATCCTTAAGTCTTTGGGTGCTTGTGGCTTAGATTTCAATGAAGATGCTATGCCCCCAAACCTGTGATACTTCTCTAGTCAGTGGTTGACCCTTGTGCGTAATCTTGCCAACATCAAGCCAATCAGTTAGTTATATATCAAGTTTCATACCTCCTCCTGTAGGTACCAGATTGCTACATTACTAAAACCAATAATGCCCTAGATTATTTGGATGATCCGTAGAATTCAAACTGGATGACTAGAATGATATGGGTCTTCTTCAGATCAAATCAAGTGACTGGTTTTGATGTTAATATAGAGAGTACTGTTATAGTACTAGTTTATAAGTATTTGGACTATTAGGGATCTATACCTAAACATCATTCCTAAAATTTCTGTTTTCAGAGTTGTTTATAAAACCCTAAAACTCTTTAGATGTTACAAATCCTTTTAAGTAGACAGGTTATTAATAAAATTATGCAAATTCAAATAAAATGTTCATTTACAATAGTGACTTTCAATAGAATCAATGTTTTTGAGGTCAATTTTTTTCCAATTTTTAAAAAAATTTTGAAAGTTAACATTATTTTTCAAACTTGGAGGTTATGAACTCAATTTATTATTTTTCAAACTTGGAGGTTATGAACTCAATTTAGTGTGTTGTAACCAGGATTTTTAAAACATGAAATAGACTAGAAAATAACTGTATATACTGTAAATAGTATAGTCATTTTTTCATGAAACTTGTGCTTCAAATATATTTATAAAGTGTACAAATATTGCTTACTGGGTTAATCATGTAAGATATCTTTTTTAACCACTATGGTTAAAAAAGTGTTTGAAAGCCACTATGAAATAGAATATACCAAAGTATACACAATGTTCTCAATGCTTTGTTTTCAGTACTTACAAAGTTTCTTTCTAATTTCTGCATATAGTTTCTCATATTTGACACCATTTGGTCCACTGTCTGAAAAGGGCTGACATCTGTATGCTACAGAATATCAGAAAGTATGTTATTAACTATAAGTAACAACACAAAAGATGCAAATACATCTTCCAAAACAGCTAAAACATTTTTTTCCAATTCATTTAGTGAAATCTCATGCAGTAATCAACCAGACAAAGATAACTTAAAGAGGATATAATAACAGTGATTAGTTAAGGAGAAAATTGAAGCATACACAAAATCCCAAAAAGACAGCATACAAATAATTAGGGAATTGTAACATTATAAACATATACACACGTGTATATATACACATATATGTGCATGCATAAATACACATACACATACACATCTAATCACTCATTACTCACTTTTTCAAAACACAATTTGGTGTATGTTAAATACTAAGTGATATATTCTTTAGCATATGATCATTTTCATAATTCTCCTTTTTATCTCTCAATACTCCACCATACAAATAAATAAAACTTGGGTATAAGATGCCAGTGTCACCTCCAGCAGTACCACATGGCTGATAGAAGTTGCCCCTCAAGTAAGTAGCCAGCCTTCCTCTCATCATAGTAGGATCCAGGTGACAGAAGTCAATTCACTTTACTAATAGGCCTCCAATTTGCTGCCTACTCAAGGGTCAGTAGGCTATACCCTTGAAGCACGAGGTATGTGTCTTCAGAAAAACAGTTAAGAATTCCTTAGTTTCTCAACCAAGATTGATTTTGATTCTCAGGGGACATTTGGCAATAACTATACTCATTTTTGGCTGTCACAGATGAGGAGAGCCTATAACTAGCATCTAGTGGGTGGAGGTCAGGGATGCTGCTTAACAATCTACAACGGATAGGACAGTCTCCCAGAACAAAGAATTACCCAGCCCAAAATGACAATAGTGCTGAGGTTGAGAAACTTTGCTCTAGGAAAATCTACCATTGATTTTAGGTCTTAAAATCTACCATTGATTTTAGGTTTTATCACTGGAAGACTCACCAGAAAATAAAAGTCAAGCACACATTCCAATGTATTACCCAGTAAATCACCTGTTATAAAACAGAATGAGTTGCTTGGTTTAATGAACTTCTCTGTTCAAGCAAGCGGAGCTCTGAATCCTCTAAGTTCTGTTTGTGTCTCTGCCTTTTATTGCTATTGGATTTTTACAGATATTAATAATGTAAAATAGGTGGGAAAACCAAATTCCTCCTTAGAACCTGCACTTAATATAGTAGGGAACAACAAAGGCACATTTAGGAAACACTAATATATATTTGGGTACAAAAAGGACCGAAGTAGAATTAATTCTGCATTTCAGAGAGGCAAACGCAATCCAGGAAATATTCTGAATATTTGCTTTAACACTAGATTGAGAATCCATTCTTATTATCATGAGATATGGAAGGGTTAACCCAAAGAAGGAAAAAAAGAGAGAGAGGAAAAGATTAGGCATTTGGGTATTTCTGTCCTCTTCTCAATTCACGTTCAAATCAACCATCAAAAGATGTATCTGCACTTGCTCTGGGGTGACCCAACACACTGGAGTGACAAAAAGTTGGGGTACAAAATGGAGTTGAGACTTCAGTGGGCCCTTAAGGCCTTCAAAAATTTTGTACACGTTCTCCTCTTTCTGCCTTAAATGTTTCTTCCTGACTTTTAGCCTAGTTAGTTCCTTCTCATGATTCAAGTATCACCACCTGAGAAAGGCCACTGCTGGTCACCTGTCTAATCCCTCCTTCACTTTCCCCCATCTCTATATCATTACCCTGTTTCATCTCCTTCGGGGTACTGTGACTATCTGAAATTATTTTGTTGTTTATTAATGTCTGTCTTCCCACTTTATATAAGTAATCTCTCTGAGGGCAGGGCAATTTTGTCTATTTTATTCACTACAATATCCCCAATACATATATAATAATTCCTGGCACTTAAGAGGGTTTAATAAATATTTGTGGAATGAATGAATGAACAAATTATCTCTAGCTCAGCTCAAATCCATATATCCAACAGTTTACCAGATAAATCTACCTGGAAAACCCACAGATGGCTCAAATGCCAAACACCCAAAACTAAAATGATCGTTTTGACCACCCCACTCCTATATCTGTACTGAATCAATGCCTTATCTCAGTGGCATTCCTATCTACCTTATTCTTCATGCCAGAAAAATGGGTGTGGTACTCCCCTTCTCCCTCTCTACTGCTCCTTCAACCCTATCAATCACCAAATTCTATCAATTTACCCTTTTAACTGTCTCAAATGAAGTAATTCATTTTTATCACCACAGACATTACCTAGTAGAAGTAAGCCGTCACTAATACTTTACCAAGAATGCTTCAACAGCCTTCTGGCTTCCCTGCCTCCGCTACGGTCTCTTCTAATCTTTCAAGAATCTGAACTCTATTACCTCTTTGACATAAGTCATCACTGCTTCCTCTGCTCTTAAGATACTGTTTACTCTACTTACTATTGCCCAAAGAAGTCTCTGGATACCTCTTCTTCCTCATCAATATCTACTGTTCAACTCATACTCTAGGGTTAAGTGACACTAAACATGTTTTAGCTCCCTAGCCTCCAGGTTTCTGCAAATGCTGTTTCCTCTCTGTTGAACAGTATTCCTTTCCCCTCCCTCCTTTTCAGGCTAACTTTTACTAATCCTTAAAGTTCAGGAAGTCTGCTTGGACTGACCCACCCTACCTCAAAAGGTGCTTTTTTCCATCTGTGCTCCCATAGCATGCTGAACTTCCTGATCATTTTATTCATAACTCTGTGTTATAACTGCTTTTTTTGTCATTTGTCTTACTAAGTACACTGGTCAGGAGGGACTAATGTTATACCTTTATGTCAAACTTCAAGGAAACAAATGATTCAATTGTAGCACAAAATAATAATTAAAAAAAAAAAACTCGTTTCATGAGACTGTAGATACAAATGTTCCAAATTCATGTTATTTTCTGCTACTCCCCAGAATGCTTTTAGTGTGTTGGAAGCTAGCATCACAGACACAGCACAAAAACCCTAAGAAACAGGTGATAGAAATGCTGGTTGCACAGCAGCCATTCTTAAGTACAGACAAGAAAAAGCTGCACGGGCAAGGTGGCAACAAAATCCTAGAGAAAGCAGTCAATCTGTGTTTTTCCAAATGTTGTGCTTATCTATCTACAGTTTAGTAGTTTTTTTAAAACCTTTTGGAAAGTAATCATAAGCATGTGGAAGTCCTCAACTTTCAAACACAACTATGAGGATCCCTTTTGTAAATCAAGCAACTATTCATCCAATAAAATCTACTTCTTATTTTTGAAGATGAATTTTATATATGTTGAAATGACTTACTTCAGGAAACATGTGCTTAAACTTTTTAAGGTAAGTTTGATACTTGAAACAGAGGTTTTCAGTACAAATATTAAAAAGCCATTATGAAAGTGAGGCTGCAGGCCAATTTAGTCCGCTTGAGTTAATGAAAAATAAATATTTGTCAGAAAATATTGCTAAAATGATTTGTGTCTTAGGATACAAACCATACCACCAAAACTGCCAAAAGGTACAAGAGAACAACTCATTGCCTGGAAAAATAATATCCAATTCATTTTGATTATGACATTTACTATACAGAAGTTTCTCAATTTACCAATTAAATGTTTACTGAGTTTCAAATATCTACATTTCAATTGCTGAGATTCATCTTTATAGAAACCCCTGAAGGCTTGTTATCTTAGAACTATTATTCCTGAGGCTGAAAAAGCAACAGAAAAAAAAAGGGAAAAAAGAATATGGTTATGATATATAAATATCCTGTTTTTAAAAAAATTTTAGTTGAGTATGTTTGTAACCTCTAGCTTTGCTCTAAGGCAAGACATATGAAAATATATTTCAGTTGTAAGGCTTTCGAGAAACAATTAAAGGTTAATCTAAGCTTTGAAGGTCCAGAGGTAAGATTATAGAAGATTAGTGTTTCCTGGTCCAATAAAGACAATCCTTTGTAGCTTTTGATACGATTTTCAAGTATTAAAACAATGAGTATGGGAGAGAAAGGATATTTCCTTGCCTGTTCTCATTTCAGATATTGGAGGAAATTATAAGGTGAGAAACATATACATAAATATAAAAAATAATGGTTTAAGTTTTGCTTCTAATATATAACCCTATGGACCTAAAAGTTTTGGTTAGCATGGTGGAATTCTATATAGCTGACAAGTCACTGTTCAAGAATTCACCTTTCCAAAGTTCCCCCCTTTAATATAATAGTGATTTCTACAACAAGAATATTAGTCATATCCTATCATTATACATATATACTTCTGTAATAATTTTCTTCAAATTCCTACAGGGTCTTCTCACTAACTGTCTTAAAAAAAAGAACTTACAGTCAAAGAATCTTCATCATTATGTCCTCTATGATTACGAGCTCTCCCTCTACCATCAGGGATACTGAGCAAGTCTCTTCCAAAGGATTCAGATAAACTTCTCATCATCTGTGGCATATTTTCTCGGTGTGCAAGAATGGACTCACTGTTGAAAATATACATAATCATGAAAGATTCAGTGTTGGAATTTAAATAGTAAGTAGGCAGTTAAATACTACAAAGAATTATTTTGGGCTAACATGTTTGTTAGATACAAGAAGAGTAGAAGAGAATTCTATTTTATACAAAAATAGAATTATCTCATAAAGATCCACTATTAGATGGTTCCCTGCTTACAATGGTTCAAGTTAAGGTTTTTTGACTTTACTGTGGTATGAAAGCACTACATATTCAGTAGAAACAGTACTTCAAGGATCCATACAGCCATGCTGGTTTTCACTTTCAGTATAGTACTCAATAAATTAGATGAGATATTCAACACTTTATAATAAAGTAGGCTTTATGTTAGATGATGTTGCCCAACTGTAAACTAATGTATATGTTCTGATGATACTCGGTAGGTTAAGTGTATTAAATGCATTTTGATGTATAATATTTTCAATTTGCGATGGGTTCATTGGAATGTAATCTTCTCATAAGTTAAGAAACATCTGTAGTTATAAATAAAATTAATGAAAACCTGTTTTTATCCAATATAATTCATTTAAAGCATAATAAAAACTACACTTTTATCTCATACTGCATAAAAATAAATATCAACACTCTATAATCTGATGTTTACCCTTTTGTCACAAGTCTCATTCAATAACCTATTTTTTTTTTTTTTTACTTTATCACAATGGTTTTCCAACTTTGTTCCAGTTGGACAGTTACTGACCCACTCATCAATTCCTTATTCCTTATTCTAGAACTTAAGGTACACCATGATTGAAGCTCACTTTACCAAGGCAATCTTATGCTTTCCTGCAGTCCAACGGAATCCCCTCTCCAATAGTCTGGCCTCCTTTTAGATTCTCCACTTCAGTTACATTCTTCTTAGGTCACCCTTCCCCCTTCTAATTTCAATCCTCTGATGTCATCATAAAGCAGCTAGAAAGTTTTTTAAAAAATTTTCTTGGCCAGGAATGGTGCCTCATGCTTGTAATCTCAGCACTTTGGGAGGCTGAGGCAAGTGGACTGCTTGAGGTCAGGAGTTCAAGACCAGCCTGGCCAACATGGTAAAACCCCGTCTCTACTAAAAACACAAAAATTAGCTGGGCGTGGTAGCATACACCCATAATTCCAGCTACTCGGGAGGCTGAGGCAGGAGAATCGCTCGAACCTGGGAGGCAAAAGTTGCAGTGAGCCAAGATCACACCACTGCACTCCAGCCTGGGTGACAGAGCCAGACTCTGTCTCAAAAAAAAAAAAAAAAAAAAAAATTTTCCTTGTAGCTCCAGCTCAGAAGAAGCTTAAAAATTCTGTCTTCTGCTCGTAAGTCCAAGCAGAAAGAGCTTTTCCTCTGAATTTCATAGTATTTATATACATAAACCTATTCCAAAAGACCTCAGATTTACTCATACATTACCTTGGAGGTTAAAAAAAGTATAATTGTTCCAAGTGTGAGTTTAAGATTAGCAAACTGCTTAACTGGATTTGTGCTTGTGTGTATAGACAGATGTTTTCATTCGGCCTTGTTTCATTACATTCAATGAAATTTACCAATTTTAGTTGTACAGTTTGACGAATTTTAAAAAGTGCAGTCATAATCTCCACCATAATTAAGATGTAGAACATTTCCATCATTCCAAAAAGTTCCCTCGTCTCTTTGCAGATAATTACCTGCTCCGAGCCCCAGTTACCACGAATAGGCTTTCTGTCATTATAGTTTGGTCTTTTCCAGAATTCATAAAATGGAATCACATAGTATGTCATCTTTTGTGTCTAGCTTCTTTCCCTTAGCATAATGCTTCTGTAATTCATCCATGTTGTTCCCTATTTCAGTTCATTCAGTTTTATTGCTAAGTTCATACATATATCAATATCATAATCACAAAACTGTCTTCAGTTTTTGGCTACTATGAATAAAGCTACTATGAATATTTATGTACTAGTCTTTGTGTATATTTAATTTGTCTTAAGTAAACACCTAAGAGCAAGGACTGCTGGCCTGTATTAGAAGAGTATGTACATTTTATAAAAACTGTGAACTGAGAGTTACAGTTGCACTGCATTCTTGCTGAAATGTGGGATTGTCAGATGTTTAACTGTAGCCATTTGAGTCGTAGTGCCATTAACATCTCATTGTGGTTTTATTTTGTATTATTTGTCATTCATATATGTTCTTTGATAGAACTGTCTTTTCAAATACTTTCCCCATTTTTAAAAATCAGGTTATAAGACTTCTTTATATATTCTGGACACAGACTTTTATCAGATACAGGTTTTAAATTTTTCCCAGTCTTGGACTTGCCTTTTTCATTCTCTTAACATGAATGTATTCAGCCAAACAACCATGAATCTTTGTTAGGCCTTCAGTTTTTACCACATTTTGCTAATGTGATTAAGGATTTTGAGACGGGAAGATTATCCTGGATTATCCCAATGGACCCAAGGTAATCACAAGGATCCTTATGAGAAGGAGATAGTAGTGTCACAATCAGAAGATGTTACACTGCTGGCTTTTAAAATGGAGGAAGAGGCCAAAAGCCAAGGAACACAGCAGTCTCTAGACGCTAGAAAAGACAAGGAAACAGATTCACCCCTAGAAACTCCAGAAGGAATGTAGCCCTTCCAACACCTTGATTTTAGCCCAGGGAAACCCATTTTGGACTTCTGATCTTCACCATAAGACAATTTGTTGTTTTAAGTCTCTAAAGATGTGGTAATTTGTTATAGCAGCAATAGGAAACTAATGCAAGTTCTTAAATTTTAATTTTAAAATATACAAAAGTCTCACTCCTCTTTTAGAGTATAAGTTCTTCTAGACTAGGAACTGTATCTTCATTCATATTACCAACCTCTGTGCTTGACACACAGTATACATTATAAATGTTTATGGAGGGCTGGGTGCGGTGACTCACGCCTATAATCTCAGCACTTTGGGAGGCTGAGATGGACGGATCACGAGGTCAAGAGTTTGAGACCAGCCTGGCCAACATGGTGAAACCCCTTCTCTACTAAAAGTACAAAAATTAGCTAGGTGTGGTGGCAGGTGCCTGTAATCCTAGCTACTTGGGAGGCTGAGGCAGGAAAATCACTTGAACCCAGGAGGCAGAGGTTGTGATGAGCCAAGATCGCACCACTGCACTCCAGCCTGGGCAATAGGGTGAGACTCCATCTCAAAAAACAAAAAACATTAAAAATAAATAAATAAATAATGTTTATGGAATTTGAACCATCCTATATATCAGATGGTCCCTCCTACCATTTCTTGGCAAAATTACTAACTATTCTTAATTAAAGGCTCACCTTGGTGCTTTCTACAGAGAAAAATCTCCACTGCAACCAGTACCTGCAGTCTTGAAGTTCTTCCTTAGTGGCTTTTGATTTCAGGGGAGGGGAAACTCCTATTTAAACTATACTTGGTTTTCTCTGGCCCAAGTATTTTAGTACATGGGACTTACATGTCCTGACAATAGTTCCAAGGGCTTCTTGTGCTTCAGTTTCAGCTGCTGCAGAGTAAGACCACCTGTATGTCTGAGAAACTACACCTTCAAATGAGGTTTATGCCATAGAAGCTTATGTCTTAATTGAGGCCATCCTGAATGTGGTCTCAAAATTTTGCAAATATCTATAAATATCTGTTTCTTATGATGCAGAAACAGATGTATAAACTTTTTGTAGATTTGTAGTTCATTTTCCTGTCTTTAGATGAAATCATCAAAACTGATGACTTAGAATGAGGGCAGTTTTAAATGTGTTATCCTTGTATTAGTTATCTATTGCTGTTGTAACTTAGCTTAAAATAACATTTGTTATGTCACAATTTCTATTGATTAGGAATCAGGAGCAGTTTAAGTGGGTAGTTCTGACTCAGGGCCTCTCTGTAGGCTGCAATGAAGTTATCAGTTGAGGCTTTAGTCATCTCAAGTCTTGACTGGTGGAGAATCTACTTCCAAGTTCCTTCACATGGCTGTTGGCTAGTCTCAAAAATGTGCTTCTAAGCTCATTCAGGTGGGCCTCTCCACAGTGCTGCTTTACATTATAGTAACTGCTTTCTCCAGCGTAAGCCACCATGTGTGAGAGAACACCTAAGACAGAAGTCATGCGCTTTATTTATTTATTTATTTATTTATTTAGAGACAGAGTCTTGCTCTGTCACCCAGGCCAGAGTGCAGTGGCGCGATCTCAGCTCACTGCAAGCTCTGCCTCCCAGATTCACGCCATTCTCCTGACTCAGCGTCCCCAGCAGCTGGGACCACAGGCACACGCTGTCACGCCTGGCTAATTTTTTTGTATTTTTAGTAGAGACGGGGTTTCACTGTGTTAGCCAGGATGGTCTCGATCTTCTGACCTCGTGATCTGCCCGCCTCGACCTCCCAAAGTGTTGGGATTACAGGCATGAGCCACTGTGCCTGGTCAAGCCATGCTCTTTTAAAAATGTAATTTTGGGAGTGACATCTTATCTCTTCTTTTGTATTCTGTTTATTAGAAACAAATTAGTAAGTCCTAGCCCATGTTCAAGGGGAGATTACACAAAGGCATGAATACCAGGGAGTGGGGATCACTGGAAGCTATCTTAGTAGCTGTTTACCACACATAAATTTGTGGGTTCATTAGCTTACCAGAGACACATATAATCAAGTTTATAATATTCTTAATTAAAATTAAGTTCAACAATATCAGTATATTTTGCAACATGCCATAAACAAATACTGATATCAGATGATATTAAGATAACAAACTTTCAGACAGGAAATTCAGAAGGTACATTAGAATAATCAACATAATTTATTCTTTTTTAAAATTTGTAAAGAAATAAGTGAATGAGCTACAAGGAAGTAAAAGACACATACAGATGACTATTTGAAGATTTTTCAGTGCTAAAGGGAAAAAGATAATAGCTTGCGTATCAGGAAAGTTTTGGGAAGAGGGAGGGAATGTATATGAGAAGCCTTTCTTCGCTAGATTAAAACAGTTCTCCTTGGCATAGATGTCATAAAT